GAACTAGTTGTAGATTTCATTGCAGTGTAAGTATTGAACTTGCGCCAGTAGAAATAGTGTAACTACTGGGATGTGTGTGAATCCATATCTTTTGTGTTTGATGTAATGCTCTCTTGAGATATATGCGCCACAATCTGTTCGAATTCTCTTGGATAGATGCACTTCAAACGATTTCGCGCAAGTTTTCCAAAAGTGCGTATAATGCGGTGTGGTGTGTGAGCGTTCGCAAAATCGCTACGGGTATGCCCAAGAGTCGAGCGATGGGCGATTTTCACGCACCGGACGGTCGCCGAGGCAGTCTAGTCGCAGCGATCGAAAATCGTAACGACGGGATCGCTGGAGGTATGCCTTAGGCCTTACTGATAGTTGAAACTTCTGAATAGTTGGTTATGATAGAAGAACTCTTGAACTACTTATCAATTAAAAATTCATGAATAAAGAACAATTAAGAAAGTTCTTATAAAGATTTCCATGCCAAAACGAAACTCTTTTTTAGCCAAGCCATTATTTAAGGTTTTCTGCTACGTGCTCAGACAAATGAGCGGAACTTCCGCAGAGCGCTTGCGGAAGTTCCGCCGGGTCACCTGCGGAAGTTCCGAAATGAGGTCCTGCGGAAGTTCCGAAGAATGCCAACCACAACAGCAAAAGAGAACACCGAAGCGAGACTTGAACCTCACTCTATTGACTGTGAGACCCACCTACTATCCTCTACGCTACGCTGACATGTTCGATAATGCATTCTACTTGTTGACGAGGCAACATCAGAGACAACACATTCAAAGTCCTGCGGAACCTCTGGCGTTTTTCGGAATTTCCGCAGGATTTTGAGGAAGGTTTTGAAGAAGTTCCGTTTTTCAACCAGTTTGCATGGAAGTCCCGCGGAAGTTCCGATTTTCAACGTTTTCATTTTTGCAATAGTGAACAAAATCCTGCGGAACTTCTGCAAATTTGGCTTGTCCTGCGGAAGTTCCGGTGATTTGTCTGAGTGGTTGTCATTTGAAAATATAACTAGAGACTGAAATTCTTCTGAAGACATTATCGTTGTTCTGAGTTAGAAATTGGATAATGTAGAAAACATACAAAACGCTTAGATTTCGGGTGTTCCTGGCAAATGCTTTTTACTACTAAAACACAAAATCTGTCGATAGAGCAAGACTCAAATTTTCGAAGTTTCAATCACCTATCATTCATTCCAAGGCTAGGAGACGCGAGACAGCATTGCACACATTGTCTAAACATGCATCATGTATATAGCAGTTTTATATTTGTTATTTATCTGACCCAGGTTTATTCACTCTTTGGAAACAGAGAAGAACAAACTCAAACTTGTTAAGACAATGTCCGCAATGCCGTCTCGCGTCTTCTAGTCGTAGAATAGATGATACTAATGAATTCCTTTAGCATTCTTCGTATATTTCCAGAATTTGTGTCTGCATATGACCCTCACTTCAGCAGTTGTGCTCATGTATAACAACCTAAACGTCCTACTTATTGCTCTCACTGCATATGCAAATGATCTGCAGTACTGGAAGTGTAAGAGGCAAAACTTAGCTTATGAGCAAACTTCATTTTCATTAATACTTTATGCGATGTAGTAGAGACACATTCTACTGTATGATATAGATTAGGCCGACTCTTAGTTTTGAGTCCGCGAAACCCACCCTGAGCTCATTTGTCCCAGTGGAACTCAGCAGATTTTCCGCTCAATATAGTGTGCCTACACTGCAGGTGAAATCCCGTAAAATTTCCGCGTGAACAAACAGATACCATCTGCTCCCCAATTGCCGCGAGGGCAGACTCGGGCGAGCGTATCAGCGATGCGGTTGTCCTGTGTTGAAACATAGCTGATCAACTGATTATCGGTTGACCATCGCGACCGCCCTCGCAGCAATCGGGGAGACGATGGTAGTTACGCGTGTCACGCCGGCCGATTGCGCGCGCGAAATTCCGGTATTACCGGGTGGCTACCATTGTTTCCCCGATTGCTGCGAGGGCGGTCGCGATGGTCAACCGATAATCAATTTATCAGCTATGTTTCAACACTGGACAACTGCATCGCTGATACGCTCGCCCGAGTCCGCCCTTACGGCAATTGGGGAGCCAATGGTATTTGTTCACGCGTAATTCTAGGCTAACTCCACTCAAGGCTTCGGGTAAATGTCGAAAAGTATAATTCAATCTTGTCGAAATTTTCAGAGTAACGATCTAATTATTGTGATCTAATTATTTCTCCTTTGAGTGACATTCGAAATTACCTTCACTCCGTTGGTTATGAGAAAGTTGGAATAGTGTAACAACAGCACTACTTGACAATAAAATCTAGTTCCTGCGTTGCAAATAATTGTTCAGTTCGAGTCTTACCGCTTTACTAATTTGAACACCTTGATGCAATACCAAAGTCAGGATTTCCATTAAATGGACAAAGAAAAAGACAGCAGTTTTCACAGTTTGTTCCTCAATTCTTTATGGTGTTGACGGGGTCCATGCAGACATGAAAAACTCGCTTGGAGACTCTATGTTTCACCAAGGTGATAAGTCACAAAAGCTAGCAATAAAAAGACGATGAATTCATTGATTGGGTGGGAAAGACTCAGTGGAGTCGAGTAAGCTTACTTGCTTCACTTCAACACCCAAAAACAACAGCCTGCATTGAGAAATTTCAAGAACATTTTGGGTACCTAAGTCTGTTGCGCTAGAAAAGGTTTTAGTGATGAGTTACTAGTAAGGGTGTCGTCAGTTACCGCATGTAGTGTGCACACTCACATATAAAGTTGCGAATGACTCATATGTACAGGGCTCCTAAATTGCAGAGTCGTTTGCAGCAGCGGTCGCGCGACCGCGTCGCGCCCGGGCATCAATGGCGCCGCCTCGATCGATGACGCCGGCGCCGGCAAAATGCCCGCGCGCGATGCGGTCGCGCGACCGCTGGTGCAAACGACTCTGCAATTTAGGAGCCCTATACGCACTCAGACCAGGGCCCGGCACGAGTCGGTTTTTAGGGTTTGTGAAAGAAGTTTTACGAAGTCCCCTTTGACCTACCTGCTTAGAAGAAAATGAAAACAAGAAAGATTTACTAGTCTGAAAGAAAAGACGTTAGATAAGAGTGAAAATCCAAATTGGAGCTGAATACTACGCATGCACAAGACTTTGGCAAGAGCGCGATATATAACAAAGCGATAAGAAATGAAGGCAAAAAACAGAGGAAAGGTAATGATATGAAAATGTCATCATGCTCAGGATTAGATTTTTAACCAGGAAAACCGCCCATGCTAAAATGATCCAAAACTTATGTGAAGTAACGAAAATATATGCTCCAGACGATCTCAGATCGTCTGGTGGCCGTCTGGAGACGATCTAATTTTGGGAAAGGTATTACTTCACATATGTTTTCAATCTTTTTACATAATACTTTAGCAAATAATTTTCTGTACATACAGTTCAATTTTGGTGTCATATGCTTCTGTGCGCTGTAAACAAGCAATTTGTTTACTTTAGCCTTGCTTTCAAATCGTGCGCACTTCTCGCCATACACGATAGAGCATGTCAATCGTGTGATAACCTGTCCGAAAGCTTGTGTTCGACTAAATGGCGCTTATTCTTGATGCTCGGCCCCGACTCCACAAAGACGATATCTTATCTCCTTTGCTGTTTGCTTCGAAAACGAAGTCCAGCCTGCTTCCAGACGATCTGTGCCGGGCCCTAACTCAGACATTCGCGGTTGAGCCCGCCCGTGGAAACCTGGTGCCCCACGAAATGACTGCGGGACACAAGTAAAATGATTCGCGAGAAAACCGGAACTCGCGTACTTCGTTAGGCCTAGGGCATATCTCACGCGATTTTTAGTCGCTGAGTGATCTGGCACTGCAATGACTCTTCATGACTGGTCGTAAACATACTTTGCTTGGACCAGACTTGTTGTATCTGCTATCACTTACGGAGTCCATGCGCCCATGCATGTGAGAACTACGCATGGTCAATCCATAGGCATCAGGCAAATCGCCAAATGGATGTGGCGATTTCGCGAAGTCGCGGGAGGTATGCTAGGCCTTAGGGATAACGCTGCGCGATATACACGATTGTCCCAAAATATATTCTACCAAAAAAAACCGGGAGATTCTCCGGGAGAGGCGATAATGTCGCGATTCACCGGCGGGACTCCCGGTCTAGGCTGCGACCTTCTGCGGGCGACGCGATATGACAACGATTCGATCAGCTGCTGGCTGGACTTTTTCTCGAACTGTTTCTCCTTCAAAAGTACTTAAAAATTTCGTTCTAAACCATTTTACAAAGGTGCTATGCACTATACAGAGTTTAAAACCACTTTTTCTTAGCTTTCATGATTGAAATCATTGAAATCGCTAAAACAAGGTTAACCGAAACACTGAAATGTCTAGATCAACACTTGAGGTTAAAGGCAGCGTCCAGGCAGATCTGGACCTATGGGGCTTTTACGCAGAAAGTACTTTTGGGGCCCTAACTAAGGCACTGCCCAAGCGGCAGCGCAGGTAGTGCTCTAACGGCTGAGATATTCCCCTCGAAACTGGACCCCGCGATCGTATTCGCATGGATCAGTTTCGCGCAGGACACACGCTTTGCGCCACGAATCCATGCGAAATACGATGGCGGGATCCGGTTTCGAGGGGATTATCGCAGCCGTTAGAGCACTACCTGAGCTGCGCTCGGGCAGTGGCTTAGTTAGGGCTCCAAAATTACTATCCACGTGAGATCCCCGTGTGTCCAGACTTGCCTGAACGCTGCCTTTAAGTCCATGATTTGAGATGATTTCACACTTTCGATCTCTTTGTCTTGCTCATGTTCCACCTCATTCGCCTTCTCGTGCATTGTAACTGCTCCCTACATAGTAAATTCCATGATGACCAGCGCGAGCCTCGAAGCAGAAGTGACACGTTGGTAGATAAATAAGTAAATAAAATAATCGCCTCATCTCAAAGTTTAAGCATGTCAGAAGTGGTTGTGGTCACACTTTGAAAAATAATGAAATGATTTATTTGGAAAAAAGGAACAAAAGCATTAGGTGCTTTAAGGAGATGCGCTGGCTTTCAAAGTCGTCCGTAAAAAAAGACATTGATTACTTTTTGCATAAGACACTCAATACGATAATTACGAGCAATGTGGCGACAATGCCAATCGTGAGCCAACCAGCCAACTAAAACAAGGATTTGTCTTGAGTTCACATAGGACTTTAACGCACAGTAAGACCTCCGCAACAATCCAACTTGCCGGAACCGCAGCACTCATAAGCCCATACACCAATACTTTGCGAGCATTCTTTATATCCGCACTTCTGTACTTGGATCATTCTCGCAATCCCAATGCTAACAATAAGCTTTGCTCTTACCCGTTTATCGATAGCGAAGAACTGCACCATATCGCTGAGCTGGTTTGGCTGTGTCAAAATATTTTTCTTTGACAGTAGATTGACTTTGCCCTAAATTTGAAAACGGTCACAGTTTGCAATCGCGCGAACAATTTCGTTGTAATTCATATTTATTTTTGGCGATCACTAGGATCCCTAAAGGGTCGGGCATACATCATGCGATTTCATCTCCTCGCGATTCTCCCAAAAAGACAACTTTTGGAGTTCATTGCATGCCGATCGTGCATCTCGGTTGTGATAGTTAGTCACGATTGTCGTGTTGGAGAACTATCACACCGAATTGCAAAATGATCGGTATGCAATGGATTCGTAACTGTTTGTTTTATTGGAAGAATCGCGGTGACGAAGTCGCGTGAACTCTGCTCGAGGCCTAAAGGGCCGGGCATACATTGCGCAATTCCATCGCCTCTCGTCTCCCAAGAGACAAATGTTTTACGAATCAATTGCATGACGATAATCTTGCTTTTCAGTTTCGATAGTTAGCAGCGATTTGCATGCGATATGATAGGCATGCAATGGACTCGCAACAATTGTTTTTTTTTTCTGGAAGAATCGCGAAGAGATGAAATCGCATGATCTATGCCTGGCCCTTAGATTAACATCGTCGGCTTAGTAGCTGGTGGAATGCCAAGATGCTCGTGAAATTGCTAGTAGGTAAAGCCTAGTTTTCCAGAGGACGGTGAATACTTCACCCCGAGGTCACGATCGTGCTGTTGAAACACTAGTATTATTGGAGCGAGGCCAACGGGCACTTGCGCACCGTGTTCCTAACCTGAGCATTCAGATTCCGATAAAAACAATGTATGCTGCAGGGCAATCTGGCTATCGTCTAGGTCCTTAAGCATCGGCCATATCTCGAACAAGTGTACCAAATCGCAGTAAGCAGGCACTGGCAATTCGCTAAGTGTTTACAGCCCCGCGCCAGGATTTCTCTTAGCTTCTGTAGCCTGTTGCAAACATGACGGTCTTGCTTACGCAAAGTGCGCTTACGAGGGCAATAACAATAGCGATGCCAAATAGAGCACAGTACGACATGCGCCTCACGAGACTCCGCGCATCAGTGCATGAGCAGCTATATTCCTCGAGGAGCATGGCACCCCTCGATCAATATGCATTGAATATGTATGGAATCAGCGGCTTTGTCGACGATATAGGCGACGACAGCTCTCTGAAGTGCAGCAGCCAATATTAGCAACTGCCGACAGGGCCCGGCACAGATCGTCTGGAAGTAGGCTGGACTTCGTTTTTGGAGCAAAAAGCAAAAGAGATATCGTTTTTTTCGAGGCGGGGCCGAGCGTCAAGGATAAGCGCCATTTAGTCGAACACAAGCTTTTCGGACAGGTTATGGTTATCGCACGATTGACATGCTCTATAGTGTATGGCGAAAAGTGCGCGCGATTTGAAAGCAAGGCTAAAATAAGCAAATTGCTTGTTTACAACGCACACAGCATCATATGACACCAAGACTGAACTATGTACATAAAAAATCATTTGCAAATGAATTATGCAAAAAGATTTGAAAACTTATGTGAAGTAGTACCTTTTCCAAATTTAGTCCGTTTCCAGACGGCCACCAGACGATCTGAATCGTCTGGAGCATATATATCTGTCACTTCACATAAGTTCTAGATTTTTCTATCATGGACGGATTCCCCGGTCAAAAATCTATCCCTGGCTGTGAAGACATTATCATATCACTGCCTTTGCTTTGTTTTTTGTCTTAGTTTCTTCATAAATCGCTTTGTTAAATATCGCGCTCCAATGCCAAACTCTTGTGCACGCGTAGTATTTAACTCCAAATCTGATTTTCACTCTTATGTCAAGGTCTTTCTTTCAGGCGTGTAAATCATTCTTGTCTTCATCGTCTCCTAAATGTAGGTCAAAGGGGGCTTCGTAAATCTTCCGAAAGGGAAGACTCCGTTTTCAGAAACTCCAGAAACTCGTGCCGGGCCCCGACTGCCGATCGCCGGTAGTAGAGAGTAGCGTTTCCCAGTCGTCGATGCTGGCAAAGGGGGGGGGGTGCTATTTTCCTCGAAGAGGAAAGATCAGTAGTTTTGTACCAAGGTTCATTGCTTTGAGTAATAGAATAAGATGCGTTGGGAGGTTGGGGGTTGCTATCGAGCAGGACGAATATAGCTTGGAAAGGTTGCTATTAAACAGCATACCTTCAAACGTCGACTATGATGAAAAATGAACACGACTGTAATCCTAACTAAACCGATTCCAATACTAGTGCGGTCAATGGTGTACTCTTATACTTTCAAGGAAGCGAGTTCGCGGGTTAAGTAGAAAATGCAATGGGGAACGTTCCCTTCGCGCGGGCGGTCTCCGGTGCCACCCTCATTGAAACGGATACTCCATTGTGGCATGCTGTCTTCAAGCTCAAGCGGTTATAGGAGCGCATCGCTCTAAAACGAGATGTTCCTTGATTTACCCTATGTATCGGATGCGTGAGCAAAACAATCAGACTCTTATGCTAGGCACATCTGGAAGATTCTATAGAAGTTTTGGACATCACATCGATTGATGATATAAATTGGCGGCTAGTGCAGAATCGAGTTTATGATTGTTCTTGTATTCGAAGCTTATGTTTATTCCCTTGGCAGAGAGCAAATTGCGTTTTATTCTGTTCAACCTAAACACACGCCTTTCTACTGACAGGTTGGTTGAGAAAACGGACGGACTTGCGGAGCATCTCATGAAGTGGAAATTTATGTGACAAGTCCGAAATCTCAATTTGGGACCCCTATTTTAACGAACGCGGAGAAGTGGTTTATTGTTAAACCTGTGAGATGTACAGTCTGCTTCAATCCCAACAAGGCCAAAATTTGTATGACGGGAGTCCGCGTCGCTAGCGTTTTGCGTCACGCTTAAAGGCAGCGTCCCACCAGACTGGGGGTACCTGGCTCTCGTAATGATGTAATAGTAGACCCCCTACCTAAGCGATAACTGAAGTTCGGAGCGAAAAAGGGGGTCTACCAAGTCTGAAATTTGCTCCGAAAGTGGGCCGAATCTTACGGTAGGCTCGAGCGAGTGCGAGGTGCATGCAAGGTAGAGACGCAGAGCCGTTGCGGGTCCCTGCGCTCATGATGTGTGCGCTATACGCACTCTGGCCCTGCAAATCGATATTGCCGAGTAGGCGGCGTTCGGCCCTACCGTAAGATACGGCCCACTTTCGGAGTAAATTTCAGGCTTGGTAGACTCCCTTTTTCGCTCCGAACTTCAGTCATCGCTTAGGTAGGGGTCTACTATCACATCATTACGAGAGCCAGATACCCCCAGTCTGGTGGGACGCTGCCTTTAAGGCCTGCTTGTCTGCCCTCTCCTCAATCTCTTCGCGCTCTCCGACGACGAAGTCGAAACGCACAAGCATACTATGCGGCATCGCGGCAGCGATGCTCGGTTTCGCCGCCGAGCACGACAGCCACCAAAAGTTTTGCGTGTTGACTAGTATGAAAAATTGCTAATAGAGTAATCCTGCAGCTTTAATGCGTAACATCAAGTAACTTGGTGCGATCTGTTCTAAGCGTGTGAAATTCTTGCTTGCCAAGATCCATTCCGATCACCTGCTGAATTTTTGTGAAACTGAGCTCTTTTTTCCTCTTTCTGATCGAGACTTTGCACTAGCAACTGCATTGCTTCCTCTGCTCTCAATCTTCATGTTTCTGAATATCATAACTTATAATAATGGGCTAAGGATGTTTACGTGACTTTGTGTGTCTGTGTGTGTGTGAGTGTGTCTGTTACGAAATTCGTGGAGCGTGTTCCCGCCAGCGTTCTAAGCCCAAATTTATGTATAGCGCATGCTACCTTCATAAAAGTCCAACATGCAAAAGCATCAGTAAATTCGCTGAGTGGATCCCTCAGAAATTGCGCGCCTAACGGGTCCACCTGGCTGCTGTACCGCAAAATTCGGTCCGTATCACCGCTTTGTGCAGAGTCGTGGATGAGTTCGGTAAGCAAATGTACAAGCGATGAGCTTAGCCCGAAAAATGGTCGAAAGTTTACTACATAACGAAAACGGTGCCAAAAAGAATTGGTTGTGTAAATGGTCAATTTGCCAAGGTTCTAGCTAAGCGTTTGAGAAGATTTTCGCACAGAGATGTAGCTCACGGCTACTATTACTTCTATGGCGACTACCATGCATGACAAATCCAAAAACCCATTCAAATTTGTGTTTGTCTTCCTGCGAATAGTTTCATCCACGCGAAATCACCGATCTCACGTGAAAAAACTTTCTAAATGAGTGGTTGTTTACATTTTATTCGTGGTAGTCGGCATAGCGCGGTGAGTTCCAGTGCCACGATTTTACGAGAATGAGTAAGGCACTTAAATAGTAGAGCCAGTGCGAGCCTCTGCGAAGCAGAGGTGACGCACTGATGATTTTTACGGCAGCAATGATATCAGCAAATAGCTAGAGTTAAAATATGGGTTGGACGTTCCGTTGACAGTTCTTTCCATTTATCTGACTGATTCTAGAAACTTCAGATGCACGAGTCATTGCTTTGGGGCAATTTCAGCAATGAGGTAACGACATGCTCAATTGCTACCTCGTCTGTCTGAAGGACGGCGAGAAATGAGAACGGCGCACCAAAAGGAGATTGCAACATTCAATGAGCTATGCCCTTATGTGCGTGTTGAGTACCACAAGCAATTTGGAATATAAGTCCAGAAGAACGAAATTCACCGTTGGTCTTGCTTACGCGGACCACTGATTCTCACATGTATGGAGCAGATGGTGAAAAGACCTGTGGTCTGCCCAGGAAGGCGCCCAACGGCTACTCGTTCCTCTCTTCTTAGTAAGAGCATTTTTCTAATCTACGGAAGAGCAGTTTGATTGAGTAAGAATTCAAATCCAATAAGGTTTCAAATAAGAATTATGTGAAGAACACTGATCATCATGGCAGTGAACCAATCTTCACAGTCATTGCAAAAAGGCTGAAATCTGCGCGTTTTTGAGTCTCGCACCTTCAATTTATCCCCAAAACCACCAGAATGCAAGGTTTCCTCGAGAAAATCTGTGAAAGAGGAGATTGAAAGAAAGCGTTCCTTCGAACATCTCAGCGTGCCGGTTCCTCAGAAAATAAATTTGGATTCAAGTTTTCATAATTTTAAAGTCACTGAAACTGAGTTATAAAACTGAACGAGCTGTAAAAGAAGACAAGCGCTTTAAGACGGTAATCTATAAACTGCAAAAAGGCTTATCTGCGTGTCTTTGAGCATCAACGTAGTGCCACAAACTTCCAACACTCGCTACAAACATGAGGAAGTGCTCCGCATTGTCTTACTCTATTTCCCTCAATTGGCGATGTGCGGCGAACTTCATGAAGTCTCTCAACGGCATGTGCTCCTATCGCTGCTTCAAGCAACCCAAAAGTTCATAGACGCTGTAGCGCTCGGGTGCGGAAACTGCGCGTTGCTGCCGCGAACGCCGATCATAGTACGCTTGGGCTTTCAAATTCTTCCTCTCCGACAGTGCGCATATGCGGGCGAATCCCTACCGCTGCAATTTTACGCTGCGCTGCGATACCAACCGTTCAAATAAGCCAGTTCTGATTCCTCATGATCGTTAAACTCGCAGTAAGCTTTCAAACAGACGATCTGTAATGTTCTGTATTAACATGACTTACAACAATTTTATGCAGAAAAACGAGCAGTGAAATTACATGGAACAAAACACATATATTTATTCTATCGTTGACGGTTCTTAGCGTTCCCCTCTCTCCATCTGCTCTCGCTTCTCCAAGCGCTTTGCCCAGTGGCAGTCTAGATCATATGGCTTGTCGTCCACCTACAACACCCATATTCTTGCCTTTTTGCAACATGTAGGGACATCAAATTACCAAATAATATTCTCCATTGGGAAGGGGACGATTGCACGAAGAACATGCAAAACAACGAGGGTGCCAGTGTCGATCGAGTGCTAGAAGACAGGTATCGACCAGAGTTTCCATGCACCCTGAAAAAACTATTAGTTTCATTTTGCGTGAATGTCACAGGAATCCGCTACTCGAGTACTTTATGCTATAATAAATCAGGGCCCGGCACAGATCGTCTAAAAGCAGGCCCTCGTTTTTTGGACAAAAAGCAAAGGGTGTATCGTTTTTGCGGAGCTCGGGGCGGAACCCCGGAAGGAATTGTGTACATGCACTACTAGCGAGTGTGGAGGAAAACTGCACATACAGAGTAAAAAACAATTCAGCGCACTTCCTGTAGCGCCAGAAGCGACCACTCAGTCAAGCACAACCTTTGAAGGCATGTTATTTCACAATGGACATGCTCTATCGTGTCTTGCGAAAAGCGCGCGCGATTGAAAGCAAAGCAAAATTGACAGATTGCTTGTTTACAGCGTAGAGACAAGCATATGATACCAAATCTGGACTGTAGGCATAAGGTATTACTTACGGAAGAATTATCCAAAAAGTTCTGGAAACCTATGTGAAGTAGTACCTTTTCCAAAATTAGTCCGTTTCCAGACGGCCAGACGATCTGAGATCGTCTGGAGCATATATTTTTGTAACTTCAGTAAGTTTTGGATTTTTCTGTCGTGGATGGATTCCCCGGCCAAGAAAACATCCCTGAGCATGGAAACATTTTCATACCGTTGCCTTTCCCTTGTCTCTTTGTTAGATATCGCACCCCAATGACAAGCTTTTGTGCATGCTTACGAGGAAATGGTCAGAACTTAACCCAGCCATTCCAAACAAGCTGTATATCTTCAGACTCGCCTTGAAACGCTGTTTTCAAACACTGTTTTTTTAAATGCCAAGCGACTATCTGGGAGGAGTTTTGAGCGTATAAATGTGAGAAATTTTTCGAGTTTCGATGAATATATTTCCTTCAAAGACAGCTTGATGGCGCGGATTTACAGTGGCTATGATTATTTTAATCACAAGGGGGAAGCACATTCACCAAAAATCTATGTAAATAAGTGTTTTTAAAAGCTATTCCGTGGAACATGCGCCACAAAACAGTTGACCCCAGATAGTCTGGCAGATAATAAACGCATATTTATGATCAACGTTCCACTCAGACAGTCGAAGGGATACCTCCGGCGGGCAAATGGCGCGAGTCTGTCACTTCGCGCTCCGGAGCACTCCAGAGCGCAAAGTGGCAGACTCGCGCCATTTGTCCGCCGGAGGTATCCCTTCGACTGTCTGAGCAAGACGAATCCGATAATCTAGAGCATGTCTGGTATGGCTGGGTTAATTTCTGACCATTCCCTGCTTAATATTAACTCCGTTTTCGATTTTCACTCATATTTCACGTTTTTCCATTCAGGCTAGTGACTCTTTGTGTTTCCAACTCCTCCTAAGTTGATAAAATTTCGATAACGGCCAAAGGAGACTCATAAAATTTTCGAAAGTCAGGGGGACTTCGTTTTCAAAACCCCTACAAACCGACTTGTGCCGGGCCATGGACAAAATGTAGTAAGAAATCTGATTATTTGACAATCACGGATCTGTTTTCATACTGTCGAGTAAATTTCCGCTTAATATGGTATGCCTGCACTGCAGGCAAGACGCGTGACCAAGTAGCCACGCCAGTAATGCCGGCAATCGCTGTCGACGGGGAACGGTCAGGAGTCACGGTCGGCGCGAATTTTTCGCGAAGCGATGCCGCAAGCAATGTCAGCAAAACAGAAGCCAGCACTCCTGCACTCCAGTCTTACTTATGGCACGAGCCATGTATCTGCCCCCACCCCCCACCCCCCTAGACTGGCGCCGTGCCACTTTAGCACCGGGCAGTTTTATGGGGTACAAAATTTAGAAGCGACGTGCGCGGTGAAGCGGCGCGGCGCGCGGCGTGACTCCTGACATGGAGCCGCTGTCGACCACCGTCACAGGCATAGCTATTTGTTCACGCGCAAACTTTAATGCATTTTACCTGCAGTGCAAGCACACTATATTGAGCGGCAAGTCTATTCGACTTACCTGCGCATTTTGGATTGTATTTTTGTGCGAAACAATGGACGCAGTAGGCGTGACTGTCTGCGGCCTGAATATGTCGCTCAGAATTTGAAATAACTTACTTGGTTATGCACTTACCTGATAGGTCTGTTTAATGGGACGCTTACAAGCCGTGCAGGTGAAATGATCAGGATGCCATAAACGGTTCATGGCAACCACTGCCTGCAAGCTTCGTTCTACTCTCTTCTTATTCCTCAGAGAAAAAATCGTGCGTACCTCATCTCCAATTGAAGTGTGGCACTGTCCACAAAGTCTTCTGTCAGCGGATCTATCCATGCTTCCTACTGATGACGGGTGTTGCGTGGAAATGAAGCTTTCTCATTTCTACAAAGGCTGAATGAGAGGCAAGAACGTGATATAGAAGATTATCAAACATTTTATTCACGGTGCACTGATCTTGAAGCGGTCAGTTATTATTCGTAATTGCATGCGCACTGTTTATGCTCATCACCACACAAGCTTCAGCGCCAGCCGACGACTGCGGGCGTAACACGTCGCCGATATGCGCGCTTTTTTTTCTAAACCCTTTCTCTGCAGAGAATCAGTGCATTGAAATCTCCTTTCGCTTATTCTGACACTGAAACATGTATTTAAAATCCGTTTGAATTCTACAATTTGAAACAACTGCGCTCAAAACTAAAACCATTTACTTGTATGGCTGGATTAATGCAGACGAATGCGAATTTTCTGAAAAATTAGCTACTTTATGTGACAGAGATTCCCTGCATCGGCACCACTGATCATATTCTCGAGAGTATTTGGACTGAGAATAAAAGCTTAAACTAGGACAAAGGTTACCGTGACTACCAAGCCAAACCATAACTTAAAAATTCCTTCTAAAGAAAACACTCGTTGTAGCAGGATGAGAAGTAAATCTTGTTGAACTTTTTGCAAAGAAGGTTAACTGTTCAGTGGACAAAAAATTCAAAAAAATCCTATAACTTGGGCTTTAGGGCTTACTCCATTAAGGTTCAAAGAGAAGATAGTTTTAGATGTTCATTTTTTTCTTTTTGCTGATCTTGTTCGTCAAAGCTTTCTTTAGTTGTACTTATACTATTGGTTTGCGGCTATAAGATAAGCTGATTTTCGACATGCTAAGATGTCGAAGAAAGTTATGATTTGCCAGAAATGAGGATTTACAAATAAAAATTTTATGTTCTTAAATCCATAACTTTCTTTCTATTTGTGATGTCATCACCGTGAAAGCTTCCCTGACTCTGATGGTTTTCATCATATTTAGGAATGTGGAGTGTTGACAAACTTATAGCTGTCGAATGTAATCTAGCGAAACAGACGTTATTTTTGCGTCAACCCAAGACGTGGTAGGGAAGCGTATTTACTGCAGGTGTCTTTCAGCAGATAAGACCTTCTCAACTAATATCCACGGTGCTCATCTTTTCCATGGAAATAGAGCTCAGCCTCCAGAGTCTTCGTAAGCAGAAGGACGCTGTGAGAAGATGATTTGGAGATAAGTCTTTGCTGCTCCAAGAGCAACAGCAGCGAGGTGGGAGTGATCTGTAGAGTGAGGACGGGATAGGAGCGGTTAAAAGGGCATCGAAAGGGATCGAAACTTTAACATTTGATGCTTAGGAGACTGTACCCAAAGACAGTTACGACAACATTTGCGCGTGAACCCGAGGCTAGGGCCGCTGAATCATAAAATGGTGCTCTAAGGGCATTTTTTTACGCCTAGATTGATTTATTTACCAGACTGCGGAGCATTACGGAGTAAAGGTTCTTCATGCGTAAATGTTGCACGCAAGGTTATTCGGCACCTTACTAAGCGTGAATCTATGGACCCATTGCACAACACAAAGGTCGACAACCGCTGACGCTCGCTGCATAACCTTTGATTCAACTGGCTTGGCTTCGGCAAGGGACTTGGTGACGTAACCAAGGCCGCTCGCGCCCGCAAGCACCTGTCTCTCTCGTGCGGGTGCTGTCTTATTACCAGCTAGCCTAAATTAGGTCGCGGAGCCCCGCCTTTTCAAAGCCAAGCCAGTTGAATCAAATGGTACACCTCAAGTGGCTTGTTCGGGGCTAATTCATGGATGAAGTTCTGACGATGAGCCAATTCCAATTCTGACTCAGCTGTATTACCGTAAGCACGAATGCGGATTAGTACGACATCAATGTTCAGCGTGCCAGATATCCCGACTGATTCGATGGAACCCGCATTCTGAGTTTTTGAGTTAACTATGATTCAATGGTGCAGCATAGAAGGTGGCTAATCAAAGCAATAACTCTCTATTTTTGAAAGTATTAGTCTCAAAGGTAATAATTTATCTTCAGCACTCCTTTTTATAAGGTTGGCACATAACTAATGCGACTTTTTATATAACTCTTGTCTTTTTGCACGAAGCGCATTCATTTCCTGGCAGTGTAAGGATTATAATATAAACTGCAAATGAAAAAATTTTGGCGGATTTCACTATCTTATGTAAGGATTACAGTAGGTTTAAGGTACAATGGGAAAGTGCTGAAACTTGGCCTATAGGAGTTATTCGACATGCTGATTACAAAAATGAGACACGTTTCGTTTTGAAGAGGTCTCCTTCGTAAGGTCAAAAAATGAATGTTATCTCAGCGATAAATGAATATGATATTCGTGTTCACCGTATTGGATTGCCTTATTGTGCAAAAAATTAGCAAATTTTGAGGTTTTGCAGCTTAGTTACTGACTAGTATCCTCAAAACTTGACGCATTTGACTTGTTCTACTTCTCAAAAGCTAGCTACATGTTGCCTATGATTCCTTTATGTTATGCTCGATTCAGGTTTTGAACGGCTTCATGTTTCCCAAAAAACCGTGAAAACTCGATTTTCAAGGGTTTTCGAAAAATGCTGGAATTTTTTCTACTCGTTATCATAGATCAAATAGTTTGCGAAGGCTTGCAGCTGCCGTCACAATCTACACGATGCCAAAACATGAGAGTGCTACACATAGTAAGAAGAAAGTTATAGGAAATATTGCAAAATTTATGTGCTAACCTAATATGTTCGTTTTTTCCTGAAAGAATCTAAAAACTCGGCAAAGTCTCATGTTTGTCATATATTAAAAAAAAAATCAAGAGCTATCCACTGTCTTGACGAACACGAGTCGTAGTATAAACAAAGGCAATTCTTTAACGGCACTTCAACCACCACTCTTTCTTTATTTTTGAAAACTCCTTTGTTATTATTTTTTTTAGATTTATTTTTGGATTATTTCATTTCTTTGGATGTTTCATGGACTTCCTGGACCGTCGGTAGTGAAACGACAATTCGGAAGTTTGAGCTCTCGTTAGGCCCAAGGCATACCTCTCGCGATTTCGCGAAATCGCCACATCCTCGCGACTTGGCGATTTGCCAGATGTCTAGAGGTTAAGCATGCGAGGCTCTCAGATGCATGGGTGCGTAGATTCCGTAAATTGTAACATTGACAGCAAGTTGGTCCACGCAAAGTGCGTTTACGACCAGCTATGGAGAGTCGAGTCGTTGTAGTGCCAAATCGCGCGGCGACTAAAATCGCGTGAGGTATACCTTAGGCCTCAACCAAATTGAGATTTTGCCAGAAACGATCTGAAAAAAAATTCGTTATGGGTGATATGTATAGAATCTCAATCCTTCACAAAATTCGGCAACGAGGAAAATTTTTCTGAGGCCAAGAAACGGTCTCGTGCGGCGTTATTTACCTATGGGAATTCTGAGTTTGAAATAACCTCATACCCGCTCGAGACGGTATCGATGGCTAAGTTTATCGAAACAGAAGCCCAACGTTTTTATCTTGAGACCTGAAACGAGCTACAGGATATGCTTAACGTCCAGGCGGCTTAACTACTGAACCTTGCTCAATAATATTCTGCATGACGTCCAAAAAGGCTTCACCCGAATGACTCTGTTGGGCATTAGCCATCTGTTCTAATAGCACATTAGCGCCAAAATCCTTCCCACAACTGTGCGTCAGATCACTGAGTAAAAGCTTAAACAGTATATTGCGATGTGAAATCTCAGGCTACGAGAGACCCGTCCTGGAATGATTTTGAGCCCATACAATACCCGCGCTCTCCGAATTTACGCTACTTCTTTGTATGACTACCATTATCAGACTGATTGGACTGTGCTGTCAGCTGTATGTCTCACTAGAGAGAAAGGGAGCTACCTGAAATGTGACGACTCCCGTGCGCAGACAGTGCACACTAGCTGCCCAGCTGTACGGAATTGTGATCGTGCTTTGATGTAATTTCAGAAAAACTGTAAACGGCAACCAAACTGAGTAAATCTACATGTGCATTTTTATACCTCTTTGCAGCGGCGGACTTGCGCACGAAGCTCAGAGGAAGAGGCTAAGTAGGCAAGCTTCATTGTCGGGAAAAGTGCACTCTCAGTAGAAAAACAAAGTGATTGACACATAAATATCACTAATGCAGACAGAATGAAACGAAAGATACAAAAAAATATGAAAAGATTATGATTTTTGTGACAAAGCCAGGTTAAATGTCGTATGAAGAACAGCAATAATTGACCAAAGGCTAAACTAGAGCTTCATGAGTGAAAATTTTGAATAAATTTCCGTAACAACAGGCTCGTACACATATATCGGTACCATGTATGCCCGTCAATTCTTTCTTTTTCAGGAGGGAAGCATATCAAAGCAAGACATAGAAAGAAAAAATGATGTTGATTATTAAATTTCTGGGAAAAACAGACCTTCGCGTAAGTGGACTTATCTAGAAAGCGATTAAAGCACGTATATTATGAGTATGATATGACTTCATCAGAAACTAAAATGGTATCAAAGATGGCCTTGCCTAATAATAAAAACTTCAGAAGACCGGAGATATATGTCACGAAAATGTTTATAAGAAAGACAATGCTTGGAAGAATATGTACACGAGATTACATCAGCCCAGTGCTCGAGTGCTGTCTAAGGTCTCTCTTATTGCTTACAGCTGATTCTCGTTTTCGTAGATGAAGTTGGATCCAATCGTGCTCCATCACCTAAAGCTGCGCCTGAGTATATTCAACAAAGGCAAAGCAATTCACAGACCTGAGACAATGACAGCCTTGCCTTGGGATCACGCTGCAACAGGCGAGTAATAAGATCACGAGCTCCACTAGACACATACGTTGGAAATTTGTACCGAACCTGAAACGATGGCGAGGATAGATTGAGCGCCTGCAACCAAACGACACTCTAAATTCGTTTTTTAGTGGCAGAAGAAGATACACTCAGAAAAGGCAATGTAGAAAATATTCCTTCATAATCTTCCTAGTGTAGGTTGCTTGAAACTCCAGAGGAAGCCATATATGCATATAAGCATATACGCTTGCCATCACTAACACTTTAGTTAATCAAATCATTTAAAGAGCAGTTCCAATAATGTCTGGATAACTCTTAGTTACTTCCATCGCAAATCCCCATCAAAGATTGGTTCAAACATATACAGTGCTGGCCATAGCTATAAAGCCACCACAAAAATCAGTGTAATTTGCTCTCTCTTGTTCGAAATTGTCTGAAAAACCACTATTCTGTGTGTAAACTAACGTCATATCTTTAACCAGGACGGCTCTCAATTTCATTGGTTTTGGCCGGAGAAAAATTGAAAAATTTGAAAAAAAAAAGGGATTCCCAAGGCTGGTCACAGCTATAAAGCCACCTCTCATTTCCAATCAGTATTACGTTATTTGAATCTGAAATTTTTGTACATATACAACATCAAAATACTAAACATTTGTCACACTTGGAAGCAGTCGCCTTTTCAAAAAGAAGATTCATCTTGCATTTTTTGCTTCAAAATATATGAAAAGTTACAATGCTTGGAAAAACTGCTTTTTCACCGAATACTCAAGCATCTGTTTGACTCGGATGAAGGTTCTAGGCTTCGCCGAGCCTTTGCAATGGATATGGCGAAAAGCGCAGGAGTCAACATGGCGCAGTCGCTGATACTGATAAACGAGCTACCTCACCTTCAGGTAGACGAGTTTTCGAACCGCAAAAATTGAGTTCTAATGCCCGAAAAGCTCTGTCACGTGCTCAGCACGTCGCCTGTACAACGATAGACTCGTGCGCATAGCTTAAACGTCATCGCAACTCTCAGGATTTTGTTTCCGCCTTGGACGCTTTTTTTTAAGAATGAGTGGTGCACTCTGCCTGATCATTACACATTCTGACCTCTCGATCGAGCGGAATACCGCTCAAAACTTCAAAATTCTAGTATTTCTGAGAGTTTTGTAAGATATGACTTGAAGAGGAGTTCGAAGCAGTAAAATCTGAACTCACGTGAGATACACTGCGCACAACCAAACTGCAGACAAAGGGTTCTGAGTTCAATGCTGCAAGTACGTCTTTGTAAAAAGCCTGATAGCTTCTGCATGAGTACATCACCATGCAAACAAGGTGTCAACTCTTAACCGAAAATTTTCGCGCGTCAGAAATCGAGTTTTGCGTCTCAGAAGCGTGTTTACACTTCGGTAAGATGAGGCTCGTTTATCAAGATCAGCGATTACGCAAAGCTGACTCCTGCGCTTTTCGCCATATCCATTGCAAAGGCTCGGCGAAGCCTAGAACCTTCATCCGAGTCAAACAGATGCTTGAGTATTCGGTGAAAAGGCAGTTTTTCCAAGCATTGTAAGTTTTTATATATTTTGAAGCAAAAAATGCAGGATGAATCTCCTTTTTGAAACGGCGACGGCTTCCAAGTGTAACAAATGTTTCATATTTTGATGTTGTATATGTACAAAAAATTTCAGGTACAAAAAGCGTAATACTGATTGGAAATGAGAGGTGGCTTTATAGCTGTGACCAGCCTTGGGAACTCCTTTTTTCAAACTTTTCAATTTTTCTCCGGCCAAAACCAATGAAATTGAGAGCCGTCCTGGTCAATGATATGACGTTAGTTTGCACACAGAATAGTGGTTTTTCAGACAATTTCGAACAAGAGAGAGCAAATTACAATGATTTTTAGGGTGGCTTTATAGCTATGGCCAGCACTGTATTTTAGTAATCGTTGCGGCATATAAAATTACTCAAATGGAATTACGGAAAAATTGCTGTCTACTTTGACAATCGTTTAAAACAGTTGATTCAATAATTAAATGACAGCATAAATCCAGTAAGCAATATTACTTGGATGAGATCCACCACATAGTGAACACTTTACGCGAAAGAGAAAGCTATAGCTGCACGATGAACATCACCTCTCATGCTGGTTGCAAAGCACATCATACTCGCTGGTATCGAATCATGTGTGTCGCTTAGCGATAATAAGGCGTGAGAAACTCAGTCAATTATGATACTCACATTTCTGATAGCAGAATACGTCTGCGAAGTATCATCATGCTCGAATGGAGGCGTTCCAACAAGGAATTCGTAACATAGAACTCCAAGAGACCAGATATCTACCTAAACATAATCTTCTGAAAAAGTGTAAGATCTTATGCCAATCACGAAAGCGCGCATTTGCTGGCGAAGATCGCTATGAAAGCTCATACAGTCAAGACCCACTTGCACTGATTAACAACTTTTGTTAACCGCATCATAATACCCATGTATTATAGTGCGATTTTTGATAAAACCTTATCGATGGATCCCCAACAAAGCAAAGAACTGTTTTTCTGCTTTGGTACAGAATTCCAACGAGGTTCATTTTAACAACATTTTTCGGTCTCATCGACCATGATAAGCCTCAGCGGGCTACAGGAAAGGACAAAGCAAGTGTTTTAATCACTGAGGTGACGCTCCATGCCATGATCTCATCTTTCCAGTTCACAAAATCCATAGTTGCAAATGATATTTTTCTTGCCGCTATAATCAAAGCAAGAGCATCAAACACGTAGTCTTACTCTCAGTCTTCCAACACCACGAAGTAAATTTTTAAAAAAGGCACAGTCATTGGAATTTGATAAAACCCACATATTCCTTGTGCTGCTCCCCGGTAACCATCTCTGGTGGGAGATAATCTAACGTTCCACACATAGTCTTGCGCCTTAACAAAGTAGAAAATGTACAAGGGTGAGTGGCAGAAAACCTACGTTTTATTCGGTGCATGAACACTCCAACCAAAATCAGCAATTTTTAGTTGACCATCATGCCCAATTAGGAGATTTTCCGGCTTGATGTCTCTATGAATCACATTCTTCTCATGACAGTAGTTCAAAGCATCAGCCATTTGAAACATGAACTAAAGCACTGCTAAAGTCAAACAACCAATAGCCTCAGTGTACTCACCACAGCAGTCGTCGTTTCGTTGAAACGTCCTTTTTTCTTCAACAACTTGTACATTTCACCACCCTGAAATTTCAGCTTACGACTAACACTATCTGGAAAGATAGAGTTAACAGGTAAAAAATTGTCGAAACCTCTTTTATCTTTGAGTTTAATCTATCAAATTCTTAGAGTGGTCGCTCGATAGTAGAAACCTCTCTTACCTGTGCATACTCCAACACTAAGTAAATACGTTTCTCGTCCCAAAAATAGGTGTACATGCGAAGTATGTTCGGATGCCTAGAAAGAATCTTTAAGAAAAGCAAAAAGAGGGTAAGAAAATTACCTCAGATGTCCTTGTATCTCGATCTCCCTTCTTAGTTGGTGCTCAACATTACTTTTGACTAACTGACTTTTAAAAAGCACCTGAAGCACATTATGGTTTGTATGTCGACAGAGTATGTGAGCGTTATAGCGAGAAGCAAAGTAATTCTACCTTCAAGGCAACGATGAAATGGTTTTCTTTGACGCGAGCCAAATATACAGAACCGAATTTGCCTTTCCCCAAAGGTCGACCAATCTCGAAATCATCCAGGCAAAATCGTCTGTAAAGAGTGATGGTTTGTAGCCAAACAGCGATCGATCCTTAATAGATCAAGAAAAACGAAACTAACCCTCCTTTGCATGGAGACCATGTTGAAGGATCATTTTTGTCATATTTCTTCTCCGAGCCCAAATTTTCTTTTGAAGCCATAATTGTCAAGATAATATCCCTAATCCCAACCGAATTAGCAAAAAAACAAGGATACCGAAATGTGCCGAACGGAGCAAGAACACACAAGAAATGATCCGAGATTCTGATTCTAGATTAGAATGGATGAGAACAACGCGTATTATAAACGCAACACTTCGCTTGATGAATCACTGCTTGATTTTCAGAGATAACTACGTTCACTCGCTTCTTATCACAATCGTGCAAAGAGTTCTCGAATCTTTTAGCATCGGATTAGATGAACATCAGAAGTGCTTAGCGCCCTAACAAAACTGAACAGATGAAACCAGCTCATTCAAACTGCATATTTTAGCGCGCAATTATCAACACTGGGGCACACTAACTCAAGCGCAGCGGTGATGATGCGTTAGATAAAATGTTGCGTGTACTTTAACAAAGTTCATCGCTCGATTTGCGCTATAGGTAGGTGCCAGAGTAAGCGAATATTTTGTTCAAGTTGGGGTCCCGCGCAGAACTGGCATCACTAATCATTGTGGCATAATGCCAACTTGGCGTTGTGCCACAATGATTAGTAACGCCAGTTCTGCGCGGGACCCCAACTTGAACAAAATATTCGCTTACTCTGGCACCTGCCATAATGTTCTGATGCTCAAAGAAATTCGGCACTAACCATTCCACACAACCCAAAAACCCACTTATCGTAAGAAATGACGAGCGTTTTAAGATCTGAGGAGCGATCCGCACTAGAAGTCGACGATAAACTCCATACTGCCCACCTCACCCTTTGAGAGAAAAGGGTAAGGCCTCGGACCGAGTTCACGCCTCATCGCCGCGCAATTCTTCAAACACGACAACAGTCAAGAGTCCATGCATACCATGATTTTGCATTTCGGTTGCGATAGTTAGCCACGATTAGTCGTGTCGGAAAACTATCAGTTCCAAATTCCAGGAGCATCGGCATGCAACGGACTCATAACTGTTGCCTAATTGGAGATTCGCGAGACGATGAATTTGCGTGAACTCTGCCCGAGCCCTAACAGGGCCGAGTGACTTCCGCATGACAAAACAATATTCCAGACAAAGTCTTCACTCCCTGTGAGACTTGGCGGGAAGTATTACTTATGCATCCAATGCTCGCTAGAGCTTGGCCTATTTGTTCTCCAACTTACAAAGAAGGTCACTACAAGATGCATCTCATCACGAGGAGCTTGAAGCGCTGATTCCAAATCTGCCTTCCTCTTCTGCAGAACTCCTCTGGGAAGGAATTTATGAACTTTTACTTGCGTGGAATTTGCAAGGCTGTGAATTGTCAAAACCATCAAGAACCAAGCATTTCGAACTCAAATCTACTTGGAACCTTTATTTGTGCTTAAGGCTTTGGCCATACTTCGCCCGTGTTGCCGATGTTTCCAGTGTTGCCAGTGTTGAAAGTGTTGCCGGTGTTGAAAGTGTTGAAAGTGTTACCGGTGTTGAAAGTGTTGCCAGTGTTGAAAGTGTTGAAAGTGTTGCCAGTGTTGAAAGTGTTGAACGGAGATCATCAGTCTAACAGTTTCATTCTTTCTCGAACGATCTCACCGGCTGGTGAATACGTTGGAAATGGAATTGGGGAATGAGTAATGAAACTGAAATGAGATGGGGAATGTTTTCGCATGCAAAAGATCCTCAAACAAACTTTTTGAAAAGCTTGTCTGGAATAGGCAATCTCCAATATTTGAGAAAGCTGACGTCTGAGTAGTAATGTGTTTTAGTTCGAATCCTGCATCGCTTGCGATTAGTACGTAAAGGACCTAAGTGAGGTCTGCAGCGTTTTCAAATATTAGAGATTGCCTATTCCATACAAGCCGTCCACTTTCCAAAAAGTTTGTTTGAGGAAAGTGGACGGCATGCGAAAACATTCCCCATCTCATTTCAGTTTCATTTCTCATTCCCCAATTCCATTTCCAACGTATTCACCAGCCGGTGAGATCGTTCGAGAAAGAATGAAACTGCTAGACTGATGATCTCCGTTCAACACTTTCAACACTGGCAACACTTTCAACACTTTCAACACTGGCAACACTTTCAACACCGGTAACACTTTCAACACTTTCAACACTTTCAACACCGGCAACACTTTCAACACTGGCAACACTGGAAACATCGGCAACACGGGCGAAGTATGGCCAAAGCCTAATGTGTGCTGATCCATTCGAAATGTTATTCTGTAGCGCAATGATCCCATTATTTGTAGTCGCTCAAAACCATGCAAATTTTGCTAATAAAAACGCCCATAACTTCCTTGCCAAAAGCGTTCTGCAGATATGGGAGGCAGATTTGGAATCAGCACTCCAAGCTCTTTGTGACGCTAGGCATTTTATGATCGGCCATGTCGACTCCGCGACCCTTTTTCTTACTATATAAGCCACTATGAAAGACATTTCAAGCTACTGGGACCAAAGACATCTCAAGATAGTGGGGCGCACAAGCGCCACAGAAACGACCAGGCTCAATTTTGATTATTTATTCTCCAACTGAATAACAAAGAATACTCGCTGGAGATACCCTCGCTAAATTTAGCACAATAGACGCTGTGATGCGGCTCACCTCGCCTCCGAGCGAGACAAAACTGATTTATTGGGAAAAACACAAATAAAACACAACTCGAGTGGTATGAGCTAGTACGCTACACTAGGAAAATAGCTTTCAAAACCATCGAGAGTAGAAGCTTCATTTCTTACAGACGACTGTAACTATTATGACCACAAGTAATGCACCGACAACACCAATGGCAAGCCATCCACTCAACTGAACAAAAGATTTTCGAAGATTCTATGCAATACAAGCATTTCACGCACAGTAATAGCTCCACAACAATCTTGATTTAGCGTACCACAGCATTCGTAAGCCCATACGCCAATACTCTGGCTGCACTGCTTCAGTCCACAGTACTGCAGAAACAATATCTTCACGAAAGTTTGTCAACAATAGTTTACCTTCTTCTCTATAGACCAAAATGACACCATAGTGCTATAGCTAAATGTGTTCTAGCTCAACCGGTATCCGTTTGATTCACTGCTCCCGGCACTACCTTAATCTTTCAGGTTAACTGGCGTGCAGCACGGATGAAACGTTCTCATACCACTGCTGGGGTACAGCTGGATTTAAAATGAGCATGACCATCACTGCTCGTTTAGGTCACCATCCTTATCAGACAGATATCATCATCCTTTCATTAGGGGAGAAAACGTTATCATACACATCGTCCAACAGGGACAGACTTGTTCGATTTCTTATTTTGGTGATAACATTCAAACCGAGGTAAACGAACGCTTCAACACTTGCTTTAACTTTTAGAAATATGTTTTAACGTGCGTTCAACATGTAGACAAAAGTTTTGACTGTTAAACACGTACTGTACATATCATTACTCTCTTGTCAACGAAGTTTCTCAGATAGGCCTAGAATAGATGTACTCAAGTCAAACTACCCTAATTTCACGCGTACAAGCCGCGGGGGATTTTTTTCCAAAATTGACTAGCCCAAATACGCCAAAGAACTTTGCAACCAAAGGACCCTATGCCGTGCTGTATATTGCTTAAGAGAATTGAACGGCATAGGAATCGCTTTCCGAAATACTTTGGAGCGGCTGAGGGGCTTGATTGAAAAATTGAAAAAGGTGCGCCTTGTACGCGTGAAATTAGGGTAAATCTTTTTCTCGAGCGAATAGCAAAAGAGATGTAGAATTGTCATTGTTGAACCTGGGTATCCACATAGGTATGCACCTGACGTCCACACAAACCTACCCTCGATATCATCCCATATGTCTTCCCTCAACATGACGTGGATTACGTGGCTTGATGAGGCGCCGCCTCGCCTCGGGCTTGCGCCACGTTGTGAGCGCATCTTTGGCGCGACGTGGCGCTCAACACAACGTGGCGCAGGCTTTTCCACGTTTTTCTTGTTGCCACATCACGCCGAAAATGCGCACGCAACGTGGCGCAAGCCCGAGGCGAGGCGGCGCCTCATCAAGCCACGTAATCCACGTCATGTTGAGGGAAGACATATGGGATGATATCGAGGGTAACTGCTTCGCCTTCAAGTTGGCGATTGACATGCTTCGACGTGTTCTCGCACAAGCGCGCGAGGTTAAAAATGGTGCTAGTAAACAAACTGCTTGTTTACAATGCACAGTCGATATTAGAACATCAAGTATGACTCTTTGCAGACAATATTACTCCCAACTATATTACGTTGAAAGTTTCGGAAAATTATATGTTGTAATACACGCTCTCCAATTCGATGGTTTTGGACCGACTAGTGGTTCGGAGCAAAAGTCTCGGCGAGTTTACATAGAAAACTACAGAAAGTAAATACTTAAAAAATTTTTAAAGACTTTTTCATGTGTCTAGTATTTTATTTATCAATTCCTTGAACATTTTGTTATGACCTCTGTATCAGTGAAAGTGGCAGTGGTGAGTGCGGCTCTAGACTCTACATCTCTCTCGCGAATGTGCTCTCTGATCCTCAGGCCCAATTAGTGATCGAAGCTCCGCCCTCCACCCGCCTTGAACCTCTTTGGCTTGGACTATATGAGCGCTCAAAGAATTTTATTCAGCGAAAGAGACCGAACTAAGAAATGCCTCTTCCCATTTTTTGGACCCAGCCGTAAATGGATCTAAAATAGCCAGATGCTAGACGTGAGGTAAGTAAGTCTTGCATAATAGTTACCTATCTTTTCTGAACACAATTTGCTGTTGCGGGTAGAGATTGTCCTTGCTATAAATGTTTTTTTTTATGATCTGATAAGCCAGAATGATGTTTTTTTTGAATTTTTCTTGCTGAAACTCTTGCCGTGAATGCATTTCTGCAGCTGAATGATTATCTCTTTGTATCTGACTTTTGATGCCCTATCCATTTTGTAATCAAAGGGACTTTGGAATAACTGCGATGTTATCGGGGAGTTCGTATTCAAGATGCTCGAAGCTAAGTGCCGACCCCTCTTTTCTGAGGAAGGCAACGGAAGCGTTTTCAAATGCAGGGGTGCCGTCAAGCATGGCCATCAGAAATTTTTTGGAAAGCCAAGTTGTCCGGAAAGCGGTTTACACCATTAAGATAATTTTTTAAAAAGCTAAATTGCATTTTTATAGTATCGAAGCATCATATGCAAATAAGAACATCTCACTTATACAATTTCATAACTCATGTAACGGCACCCATAAATCCAAGCGCTTCTTCCGAATTTGGTCTTTATGCTGCAACAAATAAACGACAATCACAACGATTGTAGCGAAGAAAGTAAAAGATATTAAAGATTGACGGTGGACACAATTGTTGAGATAGCAAACGAGGTTATACCATAGCTGAGATATTGAAATGGAACAGTGGTTAGCAGAGCGGATGGACATGTCTTCAGCAGATCATGGCTTTGAAAGAGATTGATTCAAAAATCCTGGGGTTCAGATGTCAGTGAGTGAAACATGTTGCACAAATTCTACGATACATAAGAGACCTTATCATGAGAAAAAAGCTTGACCGATAAGAAAACCTAGTGAGCTCGTATGGTCTCACGCAATGCAAAGTATCCGATTATAGTGGTCCTTGATCACTGTGCGGAATGTTTTAATCGATGTATGCTCAAACACCCATAAGAGTTCGCTCTATCCGTCTGTTAAAAAAACAGCTTCATCAATTAGACGCGATGCCAAAGAAACTCACTCCAATCCTACGCAGCTCAAATTCCACTTCAGCTTTCAATTGTTCATCACCCCCTAAGAAGACGTCTACGTGATCCTTGTGGTCGCGGCACATTGCGCTGACATGATGATCAATATTAGCAGGCTAGGACATTTTACAAGATGACATTAAGGCTCACCGAAAAATATTATAAAGCTCCTTTCTTAACTCTGACCGATGCTCGTTAAGATAGATGCGCAAATCCAAAAGTGTTGGCATAACATATTCAAGCATAGCTTTGCGGAACGCTTTCGTAATAATTTCCTTTGCGACTGCCTGAATTGGATCTGTCAACCAGTAACCTACTTATTTTCCGAGAACTAAACATACGATAACGGCTGCGGGTGGCTCTTCTTCTTCATTGGGGTCTTTACCAAGGTCGGCATTCAACTTCATCTCGTTCAGAGACATTACCTCAAGCACAATTAGCCTTCATAATGATGAACTATTTGCAGACAGATGTTTACCGTCAGCGCGTCCTTCACCAGCGCTTGTGCATTTTGGCTCTCATATTTCAGTTTCCCGCTCATCAAGGGACAAAGAACTTGCGTACAGATTTGAGACATCAAAGTAAGCTTGCGTGTATCATCAAAGGTGCTGAGCTGAAAGACAATACGAGCTTTGGGCGACATCCAAAAAAAAAACACCAAAAAATGACTTGCCATAAATGTGTAAATAATCATGCGGTTGTCCCTACTCATACACAGACGGGAATTCCATGAGTGATCAGAGTTTTCGGCTGTAAAAAGACTAAGAATACAAAGGCGAGCTGTAAGCTACCCACTAGAAACTTACCCTCTTTTTCATGATCAATGGAAACGTTGTTGAAGTGCGTGAGACATTCGATGAAATGACTTACGAACAAATCTGGATACTGCGGCAAAAGAACGTCACGCTGAATTTTTAGCCTTATCACTTTAAAAACATTAATGAGCAGCTTCTGAACTCACCAAGCAAAATTTTGCGTAATCGCTTATCATCCTATTCTCATCGAGAACTGTTGACAAGAAGCGGTACATAACCTTAAAAAGAGCTATTCTTTACAAACTCCAGTGATTCTCAATTACCTCGCCTTCCCATTTGATAAAGCGCTCGTTGATTAAAGAAGTCAACGATTCCAAACATTGATGACGTATCAGCGTAGATCTATCTTTGAGACAAGCAGCTATAACTGCAGAGTAGCGATCAACAGTAGACGTGTACCTAGGCAATCCAGTTGTAATAATCTTTCGTAGCTTTTATAAAGGATACCTGATGCACAAGTCGCTTAAGACAATCAAAATATTATTTCTGATCACATGGTCAGGGTTCAGCCTCAGCTGCTTCACGAAGACAGGGATGGTGGCTTTTGCGAATCTTTCATCCTGCATGATCAATTATTAGAGCTTCTGCCCGAAACTTTTATTAACTGCAAACCATAAGACAAAATTTCCCAATGGTCAAAATAGCGCACGCTCGCACAGCTGGAGTAAAGAGAAACCGATTTACAGCCGAAGCACCCTCAGCGATAGGCTGCACAATCGGCTGCTCACATCCATACGACTGAAAAGATAACATTATTCACATCCAATCGCATACCGGAAAAACGAAAAGTTCAAAGAGAGATCGTCATGATAACCTTAGGTTTGAACCTGTTGTAAGCCTCTATGCCTTACCTTTGCAATACCAATGACGCAACTCTGTTAAACTGATCTAAACTATTTGCATACACCTTGGAGCATAAGCTTTCTCTTAGACATAAACCATTATATTGGCTAGGGCCCATATTCTGTCGTTAAAGTTTCGCAACTTCTTCCTGTCACGATAGTCTTACAAAGCATTGACATTATCAAAAAATAATTCACGTATAGTGACACCCTGAGCTCTTATTACAGATAAAGATGGGAGAAGGAGATCGCGTGATAGAGAGAGTAAACAGATGTCATTATGCCATGCAAGACAAAGCATAAAATTCTTAAAAAAATAGTGCGAGAGAACCTTTGGTTTAACCCACTAAATCGGGTCCAAATAGAAGAGATTATTCATTGAGCAGAAGCAAACTTTATCAAAAAGTGTTTGAAAATTATTGTTCAATCGCTACGTTCAAGTTTTCGTTACTTCCTTCATGCATCTAAGTGCCTTTCTAGACGGTTTGTCAATAAACTATGACATGCCAATTCATAAGGGAGTCTTTTTGCTCTAATTTAACGTCTAATGATTTATCCCAAAAACAGCGATATCACATTAGTTATGGCCTCAAATATCTGTACAGTTTTCAGTAAAAGTAAGCTAAATGCAGTAGTCAGTGGAAGACCCCGTCCACTCTAAATTAAGGGTCTTGAGCTTTTGGCACATACGATAGTAGGGGTCGAGAATCTGGTTGAACGTTGCCTTAAAGCACGAATAACGAAATACCTCAAATCTATGGTGTCTTTATCCATCTGTGGCCGTATTCATCAACGAACCCTGAGGGTTAAACTTATTATCCAGGGTTAGTTTAACCCTCAGGGTTCATTGGCCGTATTCTTCAACCATAGGGCAGGGTTTACCACAAAACGCGATCCACCCGTATCGATCAACGAACCTGTGGCCGTGTTCATCAACGAACCGGTTAAACTAACCCTGGAGGGTTAAGGCGTCAGTTACGCGTGCGCTGAGCAAACTCACATCACAGAATGGCTAAGTACGTGCTAAGTTCACTTTATACTTCTATCACTGTTATAGTAGTATAATCAACGAATAATCTTCTAACACTAGTTTTTATAATACATCTCTAGCATATTTGTGCAGCATCCAATCTTATAGCGTGAATTTATTTTCATGTGCGCAATTGTGCCATGTAAGTTCTTCTTTTGCGCAGTTCGTTTTATACCGGGCTTGTGCTACTCTTTTAGGGGTCAATGCGTGTTATCATAAAGAGGTTCTTCTGTTTTGGCACTTGTCAGAGTGGAATGAGCAACAATTTTTCCTCGTCGCTTTCATTTGTCACCAAAGCTAGGATTCTTTTTCTCGCGTTGTCAGTGTTTCATGTACTTCGAGCTTGAACATAAAACGAAGTCGAAACCAAGTACTATAACAACAACTAATACTAGATACTACAATACTCGTTGATCGTTTTCATAAAACTATTAGATGCGAGTAAATGTTTGTATGAAGTATTAGGGGTAAAGTTCACCTTGCTCTAAGCTAGAGTTAAATTAACCCTAATGAATTACTAAGTTTTACCCTCCAGGGTTAGTCTAACCCTCAGGATTCGTTGATGAATACGGGTTAATCGTTTTCGGGGTAAAGTTGTAAAGTTTACCCTCAAGGATAGATTCAACCCTCAGAGTTAAGCCTACCCTGTGTTTCATGGATAGAAGTTAAGCTTTCCAGGGTTAAACTAAACCACAGGGTTCGTTGATGAATACGGCCACTGGTTATCCGTCATTTTCAGCTAAGGGGGCCTGGTGTAGTTGAAGGCAGTGTCTCAACAGAATTCGGGTCCCGAAATTTTTGCGCACAGATGTTCGCGACTGTATAACCTTAAATGGGCCCAAATAGCTTAAAAATTACACCAAACCCCGTTTTCCGAAGACCTCATAGAGGCAACGCGGATGAGCTGCCCCGCTTTACCTTAACCTTGGCCGCAGGGTTTAACACGTCAAGAAGGAGGGCGTCGCCTGAAAAAATGTGTTGAAACGCGGCAGGAAAAGCGACAAGTTCTACAGAGCGAGTAGAGGAGCGCTCCGCGCGCCATTTTGAGCCCAATTCTCTCGGCGTACAAGAGGTATTGTCAAATGGGACTAGGGATTTGCATAAGGGAATCCCGTAACGAAATTCGTAAAATCCGTGTATCCCAGTTCCGGTGACACATCGCCTTTAATTAAACGCGCTGATTACAAACGCTTTGATCGTCAACTGCACCTGCTTATTGCTGTTTCCATTGCACTTTTTCCATGTAAAATCGAACACTTACAGGAAGCGGAGTGGGAGCGGAAATCATGTGGCTCCCAGCTGGGGAGCCTAGATTCGTGTGGAGGCGGGCTACAGACTTCCCCTAATTATGAGACTGAATTAGTCAAAACTCTACATAGTTATAGCATTGCTTTCCGTACTTCCTCGCTATCAAAAACCGCTTAGTTGGCATGACTCCGCCTTCACAAGAATCTGGGAACCGATGATAGCCTAAAAATTGCCCAAATTTATGTATTCAACCATACTCTGTGGGAAGACGAAAGCTCATATACTCCTCATATACTCAAAAACTGAAATTAATTTACGCCGCAAATACCAGATTCTTTGGTTGGTTCTGTTGATCTGCATTTATTGCAGGGAGAAGCTCAAAATACAAATAGGATCTTTCGACCACAGGACCACACTTAGATGATACTCATTCGAAAAGCTCAAAAAAAAAAATTTTTTTTACCATGGTAGGTAACATTTGGAGTAGAAGCAATACTGTACTGGTGAATTGTGCCTAGACGAGCCACCAATGACAGCAATCAACCATCATGCTCTCACATATTTTGACGGATGGGGAAGCATTAAAACTTTGCGTGCTCCCTTTCATTTCTAACTGATATTTCTCAATCACAGCCGAGCCAAAGCATAGACTATGTGACGGTTTTCCAGTCATGTAGTGCCATATGCAGCATTAGTTACAATGGAAGACTACGAGGGCGTATGAGTTGAAGTTGTGAAAGTGGCTCATTTTTATTTGCAAATAATCGGATAATTTCTTGATTCTTTCAAAATTTATATGGTTTTGTATAACAAATTTAATGGCGGCAACAGCTAGAAGGAATATTGGGAAGCATCAGGAAAACTTATCCAGATGGCACGACTAACGCCAAATTCACTACAAAAGAGGAAATTCTGTCGCCTCGCACCCGGGAGATGTACCTTTTGCTTCAGCCAGATTAGCTGCTGAGGCGGGGCTTAGTACCTTCAGCGCTACAAAGTATTAGGAATGGATAGATCTTTAACGTATGCAGATCAATTATGTGTCATTTTTACTCTTCTTCTACCTCCACCTTCTAATAGTGTTTGCGCGCTGTGATGCAATGCGGTCAGTGCTGAAGCGTGACGCGATGGGATACGGCGTCGAAGCAAAATCACAGCGCACAACAAGAAGTTCTATCCTTGAATTATCCGTTGCAAAAGTACTGAACAAATTCTCTCTGATATAAACTACAAGCCTCACCGTGAAGGAAGACGATGCCGATTGAGCGCGTGAGCTTGCTGGCGATGGATCGCCTGACAGGACGTCGTTTACTGCAAATTAGTGATTGCTGTTCGTTATACTTTTGACATGAAATGCTGTGGAATAAAAAGTTTCCGGCCCACTTCATAGCCCTTACAAGGGAATGGTCAGAAGTCGAAGTGGCCAAACCAAAGAAGCTGTATATATAGCTGTATATACCATTCGATGCAGTATAAAACGCTGACTACGAATCTGTCTTCCTTATCTGCTTCCCGCTTCTGTGGACGAAGCTACAAGCGGTTTTATTGTGAAAAAATCATACATGAAAACAGCGAAATTGAGCACATTGTTGCACTTTTAGCTCAGCTTCTGGCTTCAAAAATCTTAAGTAAGCTAGCTGCATGTTTTGGCCCAGCATTGAGGCGAACGTGGCTCTGTACGGCTAAATTTTCAATTTTACGCATAATTTCTAAGCAGAATAATGGTCTTTAATGGCTTATAGCTTCGTCCAGAAAAGCGATAAGCAGGTAAGGAAGATAGATTTAGAGACAGCGCTTCATGCTGCATCTAACGGTACGTAGCTTGTCTGGAATGGCCACTTCGATTTCTGACCATTCCCTTGTTAGATTCAAACTTTACCATACTAAAGTTGGAACTAAAGTACAGTATTGATTCGAAAATTCAGTATAAGTAAGAAGTACGCAAGTTGTCCAATCTCAACATCGTACAACTTCAGCTTAGAGGTTACAGGCTGGCTATCCTTCTCCTGTGATCTGAGCGATACTAAATCGGAACCTCGCTAACACCGAACTATTTGCGCTAAAAAGCTCTGCGCAACTAAAAATAAAACTACCAATGTGAGACACTGTTAGATTCAAGAAACCAGCGAGAAGACCTGAAATTACTTCAAACACGTTTTTCGATTCGAAGTACCAGCTGCGCTGTAAGCGGGTTGCCATGAACTTTGCTACGAAGAGGAATCTGATATATGTATAGCTGCAGCAGTCAGAGGTAGGAACAGGCATTACAGTGATTGCTCGATTGAAAAATGTTCAATTTATAATACTTTGATGTTGCACTTTCGGCTCTATAGCCACAAATTCGCGCGCTAAATACGTTAGATTTCAACGCAACTACGAAGCGGTCTCCTCGGTTCAAATCCGCGAATTTTGAAGCGAAGATTAAGTTGAGGGTACATCTCAATAGTGCACTTGTTTAAAACAGACCGCAGATAATTTCTGAACTTGAGGGAGATGGTAAACATTTATTAAATGATGGAAGCCATTATCTATAAGATAGTTTTCGTAGTTTCTTGATTACAAACGTGAAGGGTCCGATCCTTCCAGCTGCTCACCGTAAATTGTGTCGAAAGCCAGCACTGACTTCAGCACGTCAAAAAGACCTTTCCCAGCTCGCATCAGACTGGGCGAAAATTGCACCACATCTCCCATCGTCATGACCATACGAATCAGAGTTTCCTCGCGAGATGCCATTCTGAAAGTTGATTGAATCATTCTGAACATCTCGTCATGCACTTACTCCTCAGCATCCTCGTGAAAACTCTCAAAGTCAAGCAGCGACTCCCTGATCTTGGTGCAACAAGTGTCCAAGACTAGGTGCCCGAAGTCGGCGAGTATTGCAATCCCTTAATCTCAAGTTTACTTAATAATGGGCTGTGTTTAAGAGCAAACCTGTGCCTTCTTCGCCTACCGCATCCATCATTACCGCTAGACAGTGGTAAACAGATGAAATATGCGATGTATGGACCCTAAGGGAAGTATTAGGACTGTAAGTTTAATGCTACAGAATGCTACCTGAAACTTATTATGTTCTCTCTTATGTCAGCAATAAGAATCTTCTTCAAATCGTCACCAATTTTGCGAGATCCATTTGACAGTATCCTTGTGATATACCGTATCTAGAAAAGGTAAAAGAGAATACAAATTTGGAAGACATGCCACTGACTCTGCTATCCTCATCGCCTTTCTCAAGAGAGTACCAAGTCCGCAAAGCTGCTAACGGGTTGACCTATAATGCTACTTAAATTTAGCAAAGGAGAAGGCTTCGAGTAGAACTTGCTTCTAGCATCGCACTGAGTTCTGCAAGAAGCATCCATATAACATCACTTCGCTCAGGACACGCCTCAAGTTGAAGATTCAGTGAGTCAATGATTTTAGGGTTGAGCTGGCCCTTTCGATGTTGTTGAAGGAGCGCGCAAGTCAAGATACGGCTGTAAATGAGAAGTACAACATGTTCGAGGAAACATCCTATGTACCGCTTATTGTTGTCCAATGCAATTGAGTGTAGTAGCTTCCACGACTTGCTCGAACCATCAAGAATCGGGGTCAATAGTGTTTCCTGAAGTTCTATGTCAAGGCTCAAAATCATGTACGACTTCAGCTCACCGTAACAAGCTGCGAAATGATATTTTGAAGGTTTGGCTCTCTGTCATTAATCATAGTGAACACTGTATCTAGCCAAGCATTCTCGAGTACATCCCTACATTGAACTGGTCACTTGAATCAGTTCAGATATAGAAACGCCTACCGATGCTCTGTACAATTATTATAGAGAAAATCGACCACCTCTATAGCCTGTTTTCGTACTACAGATGAACCGTCTAAGCAAAGCTCCTAAAACTACAAAAATCCATGAGAACCTTCCTCATTTGAAACTTACTTTGAGGCACTCGACGCTATCCTCAACATCAGTGGTGTCACTGAGGTATGGAAAGTAAATTCGCAAAACATTGGCCGCATTTTTGCGAACACCAACCTAAACCAATCTTGTACCTATAGGTAAGGTACCTATAGGGACTTATGCTCAGGTACCTACCTAAGTATACTCAAATGATACATGTAAAATTATTACTCACTGTATCATCGCCAGCATTAGTCACTATAATATGCAACATGACATCTTTGGTCATAATCTGAGGGTTGTCAAAAGACATCTGTTCGCGTTTTTCTTCATCGTCCTCCACGTTCACACTTGGTACATCGCTTTCATCACTGAGGAATCTCGGGAACCTTGTAAGCTGCAAGAACCTACCTTAACACAACAATCACTAAAAAGTGAGAATGGTAACGAAACATGAAATTTCCATAGCCCGGTGTACTAAGCTTTTATTACTTTGGTCCATAAGTTTTGCGCCAAAATGTTTCAAAAATTGTAAGCTCTTACTGTTTTAACAATTTGTCTCAAACAGTGTAACATATGAGATACTAGCTGGCTTACCCGGCTCCGCCGTATGTTCCGAATAGAAAATTCCATTTCTTAACCGATCCGGACCAAACTTGGCACACATACACTTCGGGCCCCGGCGAGTGTCACAGTCCACTTTTTGTTATCGATCGATGTCGATGTTATCGATTTTTTGCAAAATTTGAGCTAGGGGCTGGAATTTGGCAGAGGGGTGTAATCGAGCATGCTGATCACCCCCGTGGGGGTGATCAGCATGCTCGATTACCCCCCTGTGCCAACTCCCAGCCCCGTAGCTCAAATTTCGCAAAAAATCGATAAAATCGATATCGATCGATGACGAAAAGTAGCCTATACGAACATACGTACAGACAGATATACATACATACAGACAGACAGACAGACATTCAGCTTTATATATAAGATTCATGTGTTTTCTAATTTGGCGGAGAATGTTGGCATGCCATAGCGTCAAGCTGAGAGAGAAACCTCAATCGTAATTCTTCGCATTTTGGACGCTGATAGTCGCTAAAGGTGTAGCATAATCTGATGCTATTTCTGATGTAGTTTTACAAACTGCTTTTTCGACTAAAAACTAGGTTGTAGGGAGAAATTTGTGCTCATCGGAGATTTCTAACAAATACAAGTTTTTACCGACATTTTGAGTTTCGAATAACTCAAATGTAATAGGTTGATGCAGAAAGGTGGCCATTTTGCTTCCCACTTTAACGTACTATAACTTTCTGGAGAATCTAAATTTCTGTATGCGATAAGAAACCATTGAAAGCAAATCTTTTGCAAGACATACATTCATCTACACTTACATCTCACACGTTCAGAAAAATATGGATAGGCAAACAAGAAAAGTTTTTTCCTGAAACTTTGTTTTTAACAAGTCATAACTCCTTTCGAAGTCTCTACTATAACAGCCTATCCGGTAGCCGGAAGCCAGTAGCATAAAAGACGATGGAAAGGGTTCAGACAAAAAAATTTGCGAAAAGAACAAATTGAAATCCAGAAGTAAGCTTTTGTAAACATTTTTTCGGTAGGCTTCGAAGTCCCGAAATGTAGGAGTTCTAGATTTCTGCGTAGTAAGCAGCTGAATGTTTCTCCAGAAACTGTCGTCTGGAAGCGCTACCTTTACGCTTACAGAAATGGACAACGCTTTGGCGATTGTCTTCTTCAGAAAAAAAATTTTTTTATGGGTCATAGAATGACCGCATCGGTTACCCATTTGAGGCGCCGATATCTCATTCTAGATAATCTCCTAGAAAGTAGTTGAGCGTATGTAATGTAGACAATTTTTTTACATACATTAGCTAAATTTTCGAGCAAGCGGCGTTTATTCACGTTTTAATTCTGGCCAGAAAAGTTAATGCAATGAGAATTTAATTTCGGATTCCTTTATTTGAAACTTTATAACTACGTAACGGACGATGCTGAAAGTCCACTTCAACAATCATTAGTAACAGAATGAAAAGAGCTCCTCACTGATATGCCATCGGGTTTGAATAAAAAGTTTAATGGGAAAAGTAGTACTGAGAAAGGTCTGGAAAACCGGCCGTCGTTTTTGCATCAACCTAATATTACGAAAAATAAGACATGAAAAGCAATTCTTCGCTCCAACAATGGCGACTGCGTACTGCAACAAAAACTGAACGAACGGATGGATGGCTCAACCAACACGACTGTCTCCAGCATTGGCAAAACAACTTCAAACAGTTGCGCAGAATCACTTTTTACTCCAAAAATGTTCTGAATTACCGGAATGTCAGCAATTGATTTAGATTTTGAAAGTATGTGTAAGCCTACAGTCAGCATCACAATTTCGCTATTCTTGAGTAAATTATAATGGTTGAAGGAGCTGATTAGATCTATAAGCGGCAGGTTCTGATGAAATTATATTGGATTGGAAGGAGAACAATTCGTTTTTATACAGCAAAGCAACACGACGAATTCGAAAAAATAGTGAGGGGTACATACCATTCGATAAACCAAAGTAAGGTCTACAAGATGAACTCTGAACATTGGGTGAAGTCGTGGTTTATGCAAAGTTCAAAGCTGTAACATGAGCAAATCACAGTGTCAAAACTCGGGTCTTTGCCCCAAAAGATCTCATGAACCACTCACTCGCTCCTGCATGTAGCAGACACGTATCAATAAGTGCACTTGCTCTATTTTTTCCGCAATTAGAAATCAAGAAAAAATTGAAAAAGAATATCGGCAAACTCCACATCTATAGTCCTAGACTACTCCCATTCATGCAGTTGTATTACAAACCTTTGAGACTTTAACCATAAAAATTTGGATTTGGATATAATCTAGTTCCAGAGAAAAAATTCTAGTTGAAGAAACCCGAAAAAGCGCCATTCTTTTCTTTCCAACCTAATATCAAGAGAAGTTGTTAGAGAACAACTTTTCGGCCGATCAAAAGGCATTTCCTTTGAAAGTGTCGAAGTTTTGCTTGCATACACTGATATGAGATGTGGTAAACTCACCATCGTTTCAGCGTGATGACGTAACTGTTGCCGATGTTCAGCAACACTTAGCAGAGATGCTAGATGATGCATCGCTCTTATACGAACGGAAGAGGCCTTATCGAGACAGCAGCGTATGATACATTGGTACAGAATGGGCAGCACACAAACATGTTCCGGCAACGACTTCCTATCGAATCTGAGTAGATAGTAAAATGAGATTTTCCGGGAAAAGCTTACTCTGTATCCTTCTTTGGCGAATCTGATTTGTCTTCAATGTCATCATCACCATAAAGTAAACTGCTAGCATTCGCATCTTTGCTAAAGCTATTAGCTTCGTCTTCTCTCTCCTGCAAGTCATCGCTTCTATCCGATCCACTCGAATGATGACTGTCTGCAACCCGCTGAAGCAGTAATTTGTATGTCAATTTTATTACTTCTGAAGCCAGATCTTTCATTTACCAACCTTGTATTTATCGAATTCTTCATAGAAATCTGGAAATGACTCCGACAGATCTGCAAACAATTGACTGGAATGAACAAAAGGGAAACTACCGAAGGAGTTTCTTGCTCTCTGTTGAATTAGCCGTAGTCAGCATTCGAGATCGAATTCCCAAAAAATGCTGTAGTCAAACCGAGATGCATTAGTATCAGTGGAGCGATTTCAATAGTGAAGTTCCTGACCGAAACCTTCGGATCCCTTGAGAAACGATCAACTCTTCTAACAAACTCCTAGAATCAATCACTTGTTGGTAATTTCATATACTGAAGAGACAACAAAATTCTTACATAATGGAAAACACGTGGAAGAACTTGTAATATCTTGAGCACAGATTGTGCCACACGGGTGCGATAATCCAATCTATCGGTACAACGATGATATAAATTGTCGAGCACCTTGAAACTTTTTATTCTTTGAGCACTAGGTATTTTGTTCTTGCACAAAACTTGAAGAGTACATAATCCCTCCTACTTTTGACAAATTCTTCAGAATGATAATTTTTAGGAAGAAAAGTAATGTATTTTCTACATCTTTTTTACATATTTAGCAGTACATGAAGCAAAAATCGTTGTTGGCATATCGCGGCCATACAAGGCTTTCATGCGAAATCGGAATCACCTTCGAATGTAAAACTTACCGCGAAGAAAGCCATTAGTTCACGCGTATCTCCGACACTAACTCTCACTTTAACAAATTCGACAATGAGATCTCTCCATGTGGTAAACATTGTCGGAATAGCAATGGAAGATGGAATAACGTCACAATCAAATGTCCAGAAGGCCAGTCTTGGATAAATTATACGAGTAGTGACCTGCACAAGACAGAAATTGTGACAGACGAAAACTATAAGAAATCAGTTTACAACATACTATGTAGCCACCGATAGTGTGCTTTGAAGATATCAGATGATGCATGAGTGCGAATGAGCGATCTATGAATCTGTCAAGCTTTTTGAAATCACGGAGATCATCCACAAATCCAACTTTAGCATTAGCGCAAACATCAATTCGAGCAAAATCACGAACCAACATTGCCGTCTCATGAGAAATTCCAGGATAAACATCAAGTGCTTCTGTGTAAAAAATGTAGAAACCCCACACATTAGTCCCGCTTACCTTTTCTTAAAAGCACAAAAAGTGTTTCAGTGATCCTGAACAGCAATTCCTTATATTCCGAGATGTCGAATGAAGCAACGGAAAATTCTGAAGTTAGATGTAAGACGTAAGAGGTGCGACTGCAGATTCTTGTGAAAATTTTTTTTATTGTGTGTCGCAGAATATGTATCCACCATGTATCCACCAGTTTTTTTTTAATATGCTTATCAATTTTTGGGTTCACATTTTTTGACTTTGGGTAGGTTTTTTGGGACTAGATCTCAGCCACCAAAAAAATTTTTTTATTAGCATTTTCATTTTCTACAAAAATTTCAAAAATCATACTGGTTGTTTACAATTAAACTAGGCACTTGCATATTCTTATGACTCATGCAAGTAAATTTCAAAGCTTTCGCAGCCCATTCTGCGGAGGGCAAGGGGTGCTCGTTACGCCACTGTCACGGGGAAAATGAAGGTGGCTTACACTCCTAAAGCATATAATGGAACAAAGTCTGAATTGATAATGGCCCGTAAAATAATTTTTGGCGAATGTAGCCTCAATAAAAATACTTATTTTGCTACCAAGTCTTCTACGACTAAAAGTGGTTCGAGAATAATTATTCCAAGATGTAAGCTATGTGAGAAGAAATTTTTTACACGTCGGGACTCACGAGATGTTGGTAGGCTTACAAAGATGAGGCATTTGTGATAAAACTTTCCTATTTTAAACGTATTCTACAAAGCTATCTGCAAATTCACTAGATGATCAATAATGTTTCCTTTGTTGTTTCATGTTAATCGTTTTACTGTGCCTCTTCTTGTTTCTCATAGGGGGTTCCCTATGCATAATAAATAAACTAGATAAATAAAATCATTCTCTTGCCACTACCACAGGACCACGACAGAACTTAACAAGACCCCTACGACATCTTACAAGGAAAGGATACTTGGTCGAAGTGACGTTTCCGTAAAAATGTATACCATCTTATAGGGCATCAAACGCTGACCCCAAATCTGCTTTCGGTATCTGCCAAGCGTTTCTGGGAGGGGAGTTCTGAGAGTTTTTGAAGCAAAAGTTTCAACGTGCAAATATATTGAAATCATTCAGAATTGTAGCCTGTAAGTTCGAAAAGGGCCATGATCACAGCCAGGGCGCTTTATGTAGTTAACATCTTCAGTTTGATGAAGTTGTGCCATTTATTATTCCTTTCAAGTGCCGGGAGAACCTCAACTCTTGTTTTTAGCTTTGAACCCTTGAATTTTTGCCTTAAAAAATTCCCGTAACTCCCCTCCCAGAAGCGCTTCGCAAATGCCGAAAGCAGATTTGGAATCAGCGTTTCATGTCTATAAAGGGCCGGGCATACTTAACGCGATTCGGCAATATTCCAACTGTTCATAACTCATTGTAAGCGCATTCTAAATGTACAGAGCATAGGGCATTTTATCAATCCACGCAAGTTATACACACTCTGCATGTGCACGAGCTAAGTGCACATGCAGAGTGTGTATAACTTGCGTGGATTGATAAAATGGATCTGAAGACCTCTGACGAATTGCCAAATCGTGTCCCGACTGGAGTCGCGTGAAGTATACCCCGCCTTTAAGACGGTATACATTTCACAATGAAACCCACTTCGAGCAAGTATCCTTCCTTTATCAGATCATCGTGACCTTTTGGATTGTAAAATGAGCTTTAGAGACGCCAACATCGCTCTAAAGCTAATATTTGATACCTCAGTTTGCACGGAAAGAACTACAACCGGTTCCTCTGAGGCTGGGCGCAGCGACACTGATGGCACCAACCGCGGAAATGTACGCATTTGACGTGCAATCGTCAGGATTAATGGATAATCGTAGGCACCTCACAGATTGCGCAAACCTTAGCTCAAGACTACCGCACAACATCCGATTGTTCCCATTCTTTTGTTTACAGCGGTATTATTGTGCGGACTAACTCGGAGTAGAACTGATATTCAAACGTGCTCCAAGGGAAAAAAATATATTAGTTGCCACCTTCGCAAAAGCGAAGGCGGCAACTAATATATTTTACTAATATCTTTTTCTAATATACTATAAGGCGGCATGAAGTTTATAGATTTTAACACTTACCATCAACACCGTGCGCGAATCCTCCTTGCTTCCTCTTATCCACGTCGTTGTTGGACGACATTTTTGCAGATCCTTGCATAGTGCAGTGCAAATTATACGATGCACGGAACAGGTGAAGGCATTTCTAAAATGACCTTCCAAAAATTATGAGCCCTCAGGCGCTGGCAAAAGTTAAACCTTATAGAGATGATGATCGAATATTCTATGGATCTTGGACCCTTTGATACTCGCGAGATGAATGTAAGCGCAAGCCGCCAAAGCTCCCATTTTTAGTGAATTAGGACCACTGAATCAATTCACTGGGATGATGGACATAATTCCTACAGCCTACCTGTCAATAAGCGCCCATTCTATAGGGAACCACAGTAGCATACAAAGCTGTCTCCCCGACACATTGATTTTGGCCATTTCATTCCATATATTGGGATCATCGCACTCTTCTTTGAAAGTTGCAAGTTTTGTAAGCACTGGAAAGAGCAAACACCTTGTACAAAGGCGACTGGAGAAACTGTTGAGACCCACAACAATAAATTCGTTTCTCGGCTAGGTCGCCATCATCAAAGAAAGCTGGGGTGAAATCATTTGAAATGGAAGTGAAGTTGTTGTAGCCAGTCCTCGCACTAGAAATGATAGGTACTACAATTCCAAAATCCATTGTCTTGCAGAGAAAATAAAACCATGAGGATCCACAAACCTCAATGACGCGCACTCATCAGTAATGTCGCTCAAAGAAAACTCGGATGACAGGAACTGTATGAGTTCACTAATGGATGCCATAATCTGAAGGCCAAGTTTGCAGTTATAAAGGACTATACTAACAATAAGCAGTATGGGCGAAACGAATTCATGTAGAAAAGGCAAAACTGATTTTGGCAAACATTTAGCTGATTTCAGTGACTAGACTTTGAAATAAAACATATATACACATTAACGAAAAAGGAATGACAGAAACGCAACCCAAATAGTATAATAATTGACCTACCAGGACTGACAAGCTGACAGAAAAAATGATGTAAGGACAATAACTACACAGCAGAACTTAGAGAACAAGTAAAGTCAAGTACTACCCTCAGTCCCTTCACACTGGAAATTTTTATAAGCTAGTAGAAGGGAAAGTACAATGGATGCAAAATTTGCGAATCCTCCAACAAAAAACTTCGCCGGGTGTTCCTTTTTGTTTGCAACTGTTCGCACAATTTTCCAGACATAGATAAGCATAGAAGCTGCCAATCAGCAACAAAGAATTAAGTATTTGCAAACAATTACTGACAAACCTTCAAAACATATCAGTAAAATTGACCTAATTCAAGCATTTAAAAAACCATAAAAAGAAGTTTCATGCAAGCTCGATGAACATCCAGTGATATTTTCTCTAGTGCGATTTGGCTGCCATGACAGCTGAGAGCTTCAAAAATGTTCGTTCGCGCCGATTTGAATGCAGCGCATTTTCTCATTAGGGCACTTCCCAACATGACCTTCACTGCGACAGTTGAAGTTTGCATGAGAACTGCTTTTTTTCTGTCTTCATTCCTTCTTTTCAAAAATATACGGATAGGAAACATAGGGTGTACTTCCTGGATTATCTGTTGTATTATGGATTATCTAGATTATCTGTTCAAAAAGAGTTTGTCGTGCTGCGAGGAGAAGACCTCAATAATTCGAAAAGCTTCCCAAAAACGGAAAGAGGCTCATCAAAAGTCCCATATGGACGATGTTCGCGACGGAAAGAACTCTTCTAAGTGATGGAGCTAGGTCGAGCTCAGATGGAATTACAAAGGAAGGATGGTCAGTCGAAGTGGCCGGTACCATTCCACTTACAAGGGAAGTTCGCCGAATCGAAATGGCCGATTGATACGTGGTATACACCCGGCGCGGGGCTCGGGAGGTTAGTATCAAATGTGCGCCCGTCAGCTGCGACGCGTTATTGTGATACAAGTTATGGCCCTCTGAAGTTTTTGGCGTGTGCATGTGTAGAGAACGCACAAATGCTTAGATTGTGGTCGTGTGGTGTAGTGGTTAGCGTCTCGGACTTACAGGTGACCGGTGAGGGTTCGAATCCTGTTGCTGTCATACGTTTTGCGTTCTTCTCAAAATTCATTCTTTACCTGTTTTATGCATTACTGACGTAAAAAATGGCACACACGGGTGGTTAAACTCTACTAATTATACATCCTGCTTTGTCATTCTCACAAGGTAGTCCATTAGCAAGAATCAATAGTACGACGTGATACAACTTGGAGATTGTCACGTAAATACTACGTGCAATCGAAGAAAGTATGGGGGAGTGAGGATTTGGCAAATCTTCAAAGTCAATTGAAAAGCCGTCGCTAAAAAGTCGTTGCTATGTTCTACGAAAATCTTACATATGAAGCATTGGTCGAATTTTCGTGAGAAAAATCATCCCGTAACCCGTGTGTGTCTTTTTTACCTCATAAGCGATGCTACCCCTGTGAAATCTACGAAGCGCACTTATCACTCGCTATATAAGCAGCAACGATGATGCTGGCTATCGGAATGGTCCGGAGTCAGTGGGTTATCATTTGAACAGCACCCCATTGGCAATCACTCGACTTTCCATTTTGCAATATTGCGCTTTTATCGCCGTAGTCATAAGCGATGCTACTCATGTGAAATCTACGAAGCGCACTTTTCACTCGCTATGTAAGCAGCAACGATGATGCTGGCTATCGGAATGGTCCGGAGTCAGTGGGTTATCATTTGAACAGCACCCCATTGGCAATCACTCAACTTTCCATTTTGTAATTTTGCGCTTTTATCGCCGTAGTCATAAGCGACGCTACTCCTGCGAAATCTACGAAGCGCACTTTTTTACTCACTAATCATGTAAGCAGCATGAGGGTGGCCATCGGAGTGATCCGGAATCAGTGGGTTATCAGATGAACAGACCCATTGGATGGATGTACTAACAAGGGAAGTTCGCCGAATCGAAATGGCCGATTGATACGTGGTATACACCCGGCGCGGGGCTCGGGAGGTTAGTATCAAATGTGCGCCCGTCAGCTGCGACGCGTTATTGTGATACAAGTTATGGCCCTCTGAAGTTTTTGGCGTGTGCATGTCTAGAGAACGCACAAATGCTCAGATTGTGGTCGTGTGGTGTAGTGGTTAGCGTCTCGGACTTACAGGTGACCGGTGAGGGTTCGAATCCTGTTGCTGTCATATGTTTTGCGTTCTTCTCAAAATTCATTCTTTACCTGTTTTATGCATTACTGACGTAAAAAATGGCACACACGGGTGGTTAAACTCTACTAATTATACATCCTGCTTTGTCATTCTCACAAGGTAGTCCATTAGCAAGAATCAATAGTACGACGTGATACAACTTGGAGATTGTCACGTAAATACTACGTGCAATCGAAGAAAGTATGTGGGAGTGAGGATTTGGCAAATCTTCAAAGTCAATTGAAAAGCCGTCGCTAAAAAGTCGTTGCTATGTTCTACGAAAATCTTACATATGAAGCATTGGTCGAATTTTCGTGAGAAAAATCATCCCGTAACCAGTACTCTGCGTTGATACCACTGCTTCGATGCTACTCCTGTGAAATCTACGAAGCGCACTTTTCACTCGCTATGTAAGCAGCAACGATGATGCTGCTATCGAATGGTCCGGAGTCAGTGGGTTATCATTTGAACAGCACCCCATTGGCAATCACTCGACTTTCCATTTTGCAATTTTGCGCTTTTATCGCCGTAGTCATAAGCGATGCTACTCCTGTGAAATCTACGAAGCGCACTTTTCACTCGCTATGGTAAGCAGCAACGATGATGCTGGCTATCGGAATGGTCCGGAGTCATCCTATATATAAAGCTGAATGTCTGTCTGTCTGTCTGTATGTCCGTACGTATGTGCGGAATAGAAATTTTTATTTCTGAACCGATCGGGACCAAACTTGGCACACATATACCTCGGGCAGGGAGCGTGTCATAGGCTACTTTTCGTTATCGATCGATATCGATTTTATTGATTTTTTGCAAAATTCGAGCTAGAGGGCTGGGATTTGGCAGAGGGGGGTAATCGAGCATGCTGATCACCCCGAAGGGGGTGATCAGCATGCTCGATTACCCCCCTGTGCAAAATCCTAGCCCCCTAGCTTAAATTTTGCAAAAAATCGGTAAAATCGACATCGATCGATAACGAAAAGTGGGCTGTGACACGCTCCCTGCCCCGAAGTGTATGTGTGCAAAGTTCGGTCCCAATCGGTTCAGAAATAAAAAATTTCTATTCGGAACATACGTACACGGGGTCTAGCTGGCAGGCCCGGCGGAGCCGGGCAAGCCAGCTAGTTGGGTTATCATTTGAACAGCACCCCATTGGCAATCACTCGACTTTCCATTTTGCAATTTTGCTCCATTTTGGCAATTTTGCCTAAGCCTAAGCCTATGACTACGGCGATAAAAGCGCAAAATTGCAAAATGGAAAGTCGAGTGATTGCCAATGGGGTGCTGTTCAAATGATAACCCACTGACTTCGGACCATTCCGATAGCCAGCATCATCGTTGCTGCTTACATAGCGAGTGAAAAGTGCGCTTCGGTAGATTTCACAGGAGTAGCATCGCTTATGACTACGGCGATAAAAGCGCAAAATTGCAAAATGGAAAGTCGAGTGATTGCCAATGAGGTGCTGTTCAAATGATAACCCACTGACTCCGGACCATTCCGATAGCCAGCTTCATCGTTGCTGCTTACATAGCGAGTGAAAAGTGCGCTTCGTAGATTTCACAGGAGTAGCATCGCTTATGACTACGGCGATAAAAGCGCAAAATTGCAAAATGGAAAGTCGAGTGATTGCCAATGGGGTGCTGTTCAAATGATAACCCACTGACTCCGGACCATTCCGAAGCATCATCGGTTGCTGCTTACATAGCGAGTGAAAAGTGCGCTTCGTAGATTTCACAGGGGTAGCATCGCTTATGACTACGGCGATAAAAGCGCAAAATTGCAAATGGATAGTCGAGTGATTGCCAATGGGGTGTTGTTCAAATGATAACCCCACTGACTCCGGACCATTCCGATAGCTAGCATCATCGTTGCTGCTTACATAGCGAGTGAAAAGTGCGCTTCGTAGATTTCACAGGAGTAGCATCGCTTATGACTACGGCCGATAAAAGCGCAAAATTGCAAAATGGAAAGTCGAGTGATTGCCAATGGGGTGTTGTTCAAATGATAACCCACTGACTCCGGACAATTCCGATAGCCAGCATCATCGTTGCTGCTTACATAGCGAGTGAAAAGTGCGCTTCGTAGATTTCACAGGAGTAGCATCGCTTATGACTACGGCGATAAAAGCGCAAAATTGCAAATGGAAAGTCGAGTGATTGCCAATGGGGTGTTGTTCAAATGATAACCCACTGACTCCGGACCATTCCGATAGCTAGCATCATCGTTGCTGCTTACATAGCGAGTGAAAAGTGCGCTTCGTAGATTTCACAGGAGTAGCATCGCTTATGACTACGGCGATAAAAGCGCAAAAATTGCAAAATGGAAAGTCGAGTTTTGCCAATGGGGTGTTGTTCAAATGATAACCCACTGACTCCGGACCATTCCGATAGCTAGCATCATCGTATGCTGCTTACATATGCGAGTGAAAAGTGCGCTTCGTAGATTTCACAGGAGTAGCATCGCTTATGACTTACGGCGATAAAAGCGCAAAATTGCAAAATGGAAAGTCGAGTGATTGCCAATGGGGTGTTGTTCAAATGATAACCCACTGACTCCGGAGTACTCTGCGTTGATACCACTGCTT